CTATATATATGTATACATATATTCCAGTTGAGACGACGCGGATCTGTCTAGTCAGTTAATTAGCCATAGCTTAAAATAATAACTAAACGCCTCGGCATTGATATTGTAAATAAACTACAAACATCTATAAATATAAGGCATTGTGTTGGCCAAGTGCAAAGCAATTCGTGTTGTGTGGCCTGATCGTACCTTATCACCGAAACTTGTTATCTGACTGTGCAATCAATAATTACTTAAGCATTATTTTTTGTGACTTTGATTGGAATGCGCATTAGTCATTGATTTATACATTAGTGTTCTGTTTTTTTATTATTTAATTTAAAATAGCATGTTTCCATCTATAATTTAGCAGTTTCTCTGCTTTAGTGGCTGCTGCTGCTACTGCTACGGCTCCTGCTCACGCTGTGGCTGCTGCTGCTCCAGCTGCTGCTACTCCTACTGCTTTCCTCCTTCGCTCAATCCGTGGGATCGCTGTCAATGGAATTTGATTTTTGATTGTTGATGTTTGTTTTTCTTGATTGTCTTGATTTCTTGTCTTGCTTACCCCGAATAGGTTTTGGGGTGCTGAGACGCCAAGTCGTCGTCCTGGCTGCCCAGCGACTTTTTCACATACTGCAAAGATTTAATAATAGTCAATTTTAATAAATAATATATTTGAATGAAGTGTTGTTCAGCTTTTACCATGGGATTCAGTATAATCTCCTCCTCCATTTTATTGATTTGTTTAACCAAATCGAGCACCTGCGTTATATTCGTTTGCACATTGAGAAACATGTCGGGCAGATTATACTGCTCTGGATCATCCTTGAAGAGCACCATGCCATCCTTTTGATTAATGCTGGCAAAGATTTCGCCCGATTTTATCTGGCAAAGTACGAGATAGAGATAGAGGGATAAAAAATATTTATCATATACTAAGTATTATAAAACAAACCATATTTAAGATATAGCGTTCAGCTTCCGCCGCACTTGGCAATTGGACACGGCTGGCCACGTCGCTCAGCGACAGCGTGAGAAAGGTTTTCGTCAAACGTTGGATATTTCGCTTATAGAGAGACGTGGCCACCTGTTTGGCTAGGCCCATATTATTATCACGCGTAAATGCTTCACTGTATTTGAGTATTATAATGCGCAGCTCTTCGCTCGACGAATTGCCATACACATTGACCAGATCATGATAGTGACTTGCCAGCGGCTTCATAAAACGTGCTATGACCTGTGAGTTCTTTGGTATATACGCTATCTGCAAAACATAATTCTCATTATTCGAGCATAATTGCAAGCGTAATTGATTGCCTCACCTTGCCCTCCACAATCAGTGAAACCATTAGAAACTTTTTGTATGCCTCCAGCATAATGTGCGACATGGCCATCGCTGGCGTCGTGATGCAAACCTCAAAGAAGTAGAGAGCACGCTCATAGTTCTTAATGGCCGTATATATCATGCCGCCATAATAATAGTAAAGCAAAAAGTACTTTGCATCGTTGTTGGCATCCTAGCGGAGAGCAGAGGCAAGAGTTAGAATTATTTCTTATATTTAATCGAATGGGAGACATACGAGCGTGTGCTGCGGCTGCTGTTGTTGTTGATTTTTGCACTCGGCTGCTACGGTGGAAATATCGGTTATATCCGTATCCAAATAAGGCAGTATTAGATTAAAGTTTTTCGCCTTCAGACTCAGCTGGCAGAGATCGGCGTGTATGGGCGTTAGCTGTGTCTCCATTTGTCGTATGTGGTCAATGGCCAGCGAGAGCACTTTAATGCCCAAAATGCTTAAGTTGTGCTGCACCAAGAAGTCCGTAAACAAATGGCAAGTCTCGTAGACTAGAGAGCAGATTAGATTACAAATTTATAGAGTTGAAACGCTGAGTACACTTACATGGGCACACGGCATAGCGCAGTTGGTCCAAATTGCTGCGCTGCACAAATTCACGCATCAATTCAATAATTTGCATTGGTTCTGGATTGGCAGTCGCCGCGCTGTGCAGTTTGCCGAGCAGCACGTAGAGGACGCCCAGTGTATGCTGTTGCATGTCCAGTGTCTCGAGCACATTGTCCAATATGCTCCAGTTGCGCACCAGCAATGACAGCGATTCGGGCAACTCATCCGCCAGCTCACGATAACTGCCTGCATATAGGAAATGTATATACAAATATATATATATGCATATAATTATCAATTTTTTTCTGGTTTGCGAAATTTCTTTCTCTGCCGGCACTTACCCGCTGCGCTTAGCGTGCGCACTTGATTCACGTAGTTTTCCAGCGCGCTCCCCATTTTTGATTTTTATTTTTGCAAGTGTGTATGTAGTCCGAGACTATGGCTTTTCTACAGTTTTTTATCGCTAAGAACTAATAAATTAAATAAAATAAAATATTTTATACGCGTTCGCGTTTTTCCTGTTAACAGTGTGACCGTAAACTGCAAGACTTCACACGCCGAAAACACTGACTCACTGTAGGTACTATTCTGAAAGGTGGCAACGTTATTTTCA